CCTTATCATCATCTCCAACACACTATTTACAACCATTGTACCAACCAGCATGTTTGGGTGTTCGGCACACGCGCTCCTTTTCTGCAGGAAGACTGTGCTGACATCACTTTGCAAACAAAAGAACTAAAACAGTGACTATCCACTGCAAGGAGCACTTGCAGGACCGAGGGCTGGATGCTGCGCTTTAGACCTACTGTCTCAGCTGCTCCTGGCCTACCTTGTTAGTGCATTAACTACGGGCATGAAAAATGTCTGCCACTGTACTTTGAAGAAAATGTTCCAGAAATTTATCAGGTTCTTACTTCTGAAGGTGGCTCTATTGCTCTTGAAGGCTTTATAGTTATAGAGAATTTCAGATATTTTCTTTCATCACAGTTATTCCCTGAAGTAACAGACTATTAGAATGATTAACAGAAATGTTTTCAAGTAGAAAATACTGCTTTCTGAAATTAGTAACCTAAAATGTACTGCTCATCAATTAATAAAAATAAAACAAAAAATCTGATTAATTTAGAAGATAATTTGGACAGGTTTTCTGGTAAGTCAGCAGAGGTAAGGCATGTGCGGAGGTTCAGGGAAGACAAATAATTTAATCTGCAGGATTCTGCTGCCTGCATGCAGCTTAAGAGTCTACTGAGAGGAAAGTGCGGATGGGAATAGGAGGTGGTAAAGAGGTAGGGGTAGTAGGAGGGGGTTCACTGGGTGTAGGAACAGAGAGGTGGTAAGTGGGGGTGATAGGAGAGGATTCATGTGGGCATGGGGATAGGGAGGTGTGAAGGTGGGTGGCGGAAAGGCAACTAAAACAAAGTGTGTGTGAAAATGCAAAGCAATTAAAAATAAGTCTACTCGGGAATAATGTGCCATTCCACATCTTTAAAAATTAATAAATCTGTAAGCAATTATGACTTGGCAACTTCATTTGCCACAGAGCAAGTCAGCAATCACAATACATACCTTCCCTTTGACAGAATTATATGTGAGATCATAACCAAAGGCCATCTCACTGCCATGGTCATTGACTTAGTTTCTTTTCCTACTGCTGTGATAAAAAAAAAAAAAACGGTGACAAAAGAAACTCAGGGAAGAAAGGGTTTATTATGGCACACATTCCATGGCAAAGAAGTCAAGATGGCTGGGGCCTGAAGCAGCTGGTACCATCACATTCACAATAAGAGCGCAGAGAAGGCTGAATGCATGCTGCTCTTTTCCTCCATTTTGACAGAGCAGGATCCCAGCCAGGCAAAGAGGGTGACCTACCGTGGGCGGGCCTTTCCGCCTCAAATAATGTAATTAAAGGCATGCTTAGAGGGTCTCCGAGGAGGCTTTGGCTGTGTCATGAGGACAACACTAACCACCCTAGTCACATAGCAAGAATGATAATCAACTTCTTCACCCTTAGAACATTATATGGCATGGAGGAATATCATCCTAATTTTGATGAATGGAATGGCATTTCAGAGAAAAACACAGTCAGCAGTGCTTGGCTAACCTTGTAATAAGCTTGAATTTATCCAAAAGAAACACTTCTTTATAGGAAAACAAGAAAAGCAGAATGCTATTTGAGACTGAGCTGAGGCTTTGCCACTTCCTCACTAGCTGTGGGACATTTACCATCCCATAACATGGTTCTTCATCTGTGAATAATGAAAGAACTCTTCCCCAAGCTTGCTGTGAGAAGTAGCTCACTACAATTGTTTTCCACTCATGTTTAGTGCTTCGTAGATAGCACTGTGAGAAAGCAAACAATGTGGACGGGCAGTCAATTGCCCATCTTGAGCGGCAACAGTGGCACTTTGATACAGTTCAGCATGACAGTCACAGTGTCTAGCTTCAAAACCATCATCCATTCATCCATCCATCCTCCCTCCCTTCCTCACCTCATCGGTTGGATGAGCTCTTTCCTCTTTACCTATACTGCCTTCTCTGTCAGTTTCGCTCCTTGCTGTTTTTAGGGTTGATGAAGGAATGTTCAGAGCCTGCAAAGGCATCACACCCTCAATTGCTCAAAGACAGGGTCTACCTTTATATGTACCAAACTGGTTTAGCTGGGACAGGAAGGCAGCAATAGGAAGATACACCCAAGTTATATTTTAAGATTCTATGTTTCTATATGCAAAAAATGGCAGGAAGCATGTGAATGTGATTTGGGAGTCATCTGCAGGACAGATTATGAAAAACAGGCTCTAATTATGAACAAGTGATGGCCATAGAAAGCTGTTTGGGTGGAGTCATTACAAGTTTTATCAGAAAGGGTGCTTACCATCTCATCCCTACTCTTGTATTTTATGATGCAGAAGGTTACACACTGTGATCAATCTTAGTCTGCTACCATCACCACAAAGCATACAACTAACCTTCTTTCCAAGGCAAGAAATTCACCTTTGAAACATCTCTTCCCATCACAAAACTTTTCATATCCCTACCCAGCTTTTTAGGAAATAATTATTTTAACAGATTAACTTGAAAAAGTGCTACACACAATAAAACTCACTAAAAATTTCTGTTTTATACAGTTCTATCAAGGTGATTGTGTTCATATAATTGTATTTCTGTATTTTAATAATTTTCATTCCTTTTAAGCAACATCATGGATACTAGCTAGTACACATCTTACTGGAATTCACTTTTTCCTTATGTGTTTATGTATTTATGACATCTTCAGATAAACATTAAAAGAGAAACTTAGCGTATGTTCTTAGAGGGAAAGAAATGTGTCATTAATCTTTGTATGCTATATAGCACTTAGCATTGGCTCCAGCATGGGAGAAAAATTAAACAAATGTTTGTTGAGTTAAATCATAAGCACTTAACAGAAAGTTGACTGTTATTTTTCACATAAAAATACACTAACTCAAGTGGTGGCCTCTGATGCTAGAAGATCAAATGAAAAGTCTCAATAGCCACAGGAAATTAATTCAAGAATCTCAGATTAATTTTCCATTAAACTGAAGGTGAATTATACTTGCTTCTTGAAAAGATGATAACTGTAAGATTTAATACTCAGTATTAGGTGAAACACATTTATCTTCAAACACAAGTGCCTATCTCCCCAAGGTATGAAACACATTTAAAAGCAGCAGTTCTGAACAGTCATAGGCAACCACAGGGATACTTGCATAAATACAGAGCTGTGGTTGGGGTAAGTGTCCCAAAGGCATATGTGTTAAAGGCTTACTCTATAATTTGGTGTTACTGCTAGGTATAGGAATCTGTGAGAAGTGGAGCCTAGTGGGAGGAAGTTGGGTCACTGAGGATATAATCTTCACCACTTCCTGTCTCTTTCTTTCTGTGTCTTGGCAACTGGAAATCAAGCAGCTTTCTCTTCCTTGTGTTCCCATCATGATGTGCTGCCTTGGTACAGACCAAAAGGGAGCCATGTGATCATAACCATGTACTGAAACAGTGAACCAAAATAATCTATTGTTTTAAGCTGCCACAGTTATATAAAGCTCAACAGTGGATGATTTAAGAGGGCTAAATGATGACATAGTGTCCATCCAGCAGTTCATGGGTTGCATGCAGCTACATGTAGCTGACAAATGCCCAAAACTGCAAGCTTCCTTGAAACATTGAGGTCCCCCCACCCAAAAAGTTTTTGATTGTAACTCAACTGTGTATTTCTTGAGCATGAACTTTCTAGCTAGCAGAGTCACGGCAGAATGTCAAAAGTCTGTGCACCCCTAAACAGGAGCCATTGAAGAAACAAGTGTAGGCTCTAGCTAAAAATACCATGCATGAGAGACTATTCTGCATTTGGAATGGAAAGCCAGAGGCCACCAAGCTTTGCTCTTGAAATGTGTCACCAACAATCACAATCTGTTGTAGTAGACTTAGTTTCATGAGAATGGAATCAGAGCTCTGGGAAGCCAGGGGCAACAACAGCCAACAATGGCCAATAATCTGATTTTAAAATAGGATTATGGCCCACCATTCTTCATGTTTTCATTAAAGATGAGGCTATACAGTAAAGGCAGGTAAAGTGCAGAGAAAGAAAACTGTCACTACTTTAAGTGTTAAGGGATTGTTTGTTTGTTTTACATAGCACGTTGGAGCTCTAAGACAGCTTGATCAGGCAGACTTGCCAAAATTAGCTTGAACTTGAAGGCTGATTCTTCCACTGAATTTTTAGGATCATGCAAAATAGGATACATTTTAGAGCCCATCACAGTCCTTCTAGAACCCAGTCTTTCTGGACTCAGGACCTCTTCAAATTTTCAGCTTCAGTGTGGCTGCAGAGTCTGGAAGCACATTCCACTTGGCATCCCAGAAGAGCAAGGTTATTACCCAGCTTTATATTGCACTTTACACTTTAGAAAGGCCTATTCGGACAGAATTTTATTTCTAATAAAACTTATAACCACCCCTGACAAAGACACAACAAAGAAAGCTTCGAGAGCTCCCCTGAATTGCCCTGGCAAAAGAACTCAGATTTCAACTAAATAAGCAACTGGATACTCCTCAAACCACAAACTAGTGACAGCAGTCAGCTATGGGTACTGGCAGCAAGGTAGTCACAAAAACAGGTTGTGTTAAACTGAGTTCTGTATGTAGCTAGCTTGGCAGATTAAGTTAAAATAAATCCAAAGATGCTGAACTGGGACTAAAATAGGTCTGAATCTTCTCCCTCCCAAGGTTCTTGAAAAAGCAACAATGATGACATACTGTAAGTTTGCTTAATTAATTCCAAGTTTTCTTCAGTGAGCTTTGTGCTCTCATCCTGTATCACATGCCATCTGGCTACGGGGGATATGTAGTGCTCACTCGCATCCTGCCTCCTAACCCTCAGAACAGGGGTGTCTTCTTCAAAATCAGAAAAATGCTAGTCAGATCAGAGGGGGCTAAGGACCTGATTTGAAATCAAATGATACCACCATGCTGCAGTCTACTTGCCATCGCCTGTGTTAATGAAGCAGCTCTTCACAGTCTTCAATAAAAACAAAGGTTCCAATGACTCAGTGGTGGATGCTCTACACAGAGAGGTGAAAGGCTTCATCCCTTACCTCTAGGTGTGTCCGCCGCTCAGCAACCACTCGCTCGTCTTTGTTTCCAAACAGCTTCTTTGGGGGGAATTCAAGAGCAGCAAGCTGAAACACAGATTTGAAGAGCTACATTAAGGTCATACCTATGATCTTTTATTTGTCTATTATTAATTAAACTTTTTTTTTTTAAAGTATCCCTATTATGGAGCAGAGAGATGCTTAAAGTTTAAAGGTGGTAAAGTTTAAAGATGGTAGGTTCTGCCTCCGGTTGCCATCAACATTGACGATGTCAGGTAACCATGGATCAGATTCCTCAGTGTCAAATGAGAAAACAGGAAAGTATGAATTTGAACAACAGACTTTAAAGATTGTATTTCATGCTATATAGTATCTTCTATAAAGCAAACAAAGAAACCCTATGATAAGACTAGAGTGGTGCCTGTGCATCAGGCAACAACTCCAACACTGAGATCCTGTCCACCAGCTGAGTTTGTTTCTGTTACTTTTGTGTTTTGAAATAGGATCTCACTCTGCAGCCCAAGCTGGCCTAGAATTATGTACATATACCAGGCTGGTCTAGAATGTAGATGGCCCTCCTGACTTACACTCCTGTGTGTGGAAATTACTGTCAGGACCATCACACAGAGTTTTCTTTATTTTTATCTTATCTTGATGCATGATCTTATTATTTTACCTAAGCATTGAACTTTACAGTAGCTCGGGCAATTATTACTTTTCTATGGAAATGAGAATTTGAAAATTCCACCTACAAAAATCCCTGGTCATTTTGTAAAATATTTCTTGGACAATTACTAAGGTCGCTAAACAGTCCACATTGCTTTCTTTTAGGTTAGTGCAGGTGAGGATTACCTGGGGGGAAAGGGGCTTCTCATTAAATGCATTACCTCATTTCCTAGAAAAATGAAGGTTTGGAATTAGTTCTCTGTCTTAAAAGCCCACAGTCATCTTCCTTAATGCTCTTCCTCTTGAAGGCATATAGATCATAATAAGAAGGTAAGTTTTATTACATACCCAGGCTAGAAAAAAACCACATAATCTGGTGAGACCCTGACTATAGAGGCTTGCATTGGCAGAATGGATGCTAAGCTGCAATAATTGATGCTGTGGGTAGAAGTCATTGTTTCTTTATTTCTCACCTTTGGTGAACAAATTGAAGTCTATGAAGCATTATTAAGAAAAAAATAAATATTTCTTCAACAAAGTAGGGCACAATAGGCCACAAAATTCCAATTTATACTTATGCAAATAACTAAGGTAATTTAAATTTATATTGCCACAGCTGAAGGTTAAAAAAAATTAGAATTGGCTTTTGTATATTTAAGACTTTAAAAACACAATAAAATATGCTAGAAATACCAAAAAGTATAATGTATGAGGGAAAAACTTGACTGGTGTTCAAACTATGGGCAGCTTGCAGCCAGCAGCTGAGTTAAGACATGAACATGGCCGCCCCAGGAAGTGCTCTCCCTCCAGTTCCTTCTTCCCACTCTAGGAGAACTAACAGTAGGCCAAATAACTTCTAATAGCAATCTTTGGTTCTGCTTTTCACTTTGTATGGGTAGTACTATCTTTAAATCTCATGTAGCTAGACAAGGCTCTACCACTGAGCTGTATCCTCAATCCTGCTTTTACTTTTAAAATTTTGTGACATAAACTCATTAAGTTTTGGAAGCTAGTCTTGAACTTGTAATTCTACTGTTTCATCCCTCTGAATAGCTGAAACTATATAGGTGTGCAACATTATAAATGTAATGCAAATGGCACCATACAGGTTGTGTTTCAGTTTTTGAGTTTACATTTGCTGAACACCATGTTCAGAGGATCCATCTGGAGTTGCATGTAGTGATAATTTGCAAATCCTCATTGTTGGACAGTATTTCGTTATATTAATTTTCTACAACTTGCTTGCTTAATTTACCCCCCATGGTGCAGTTATTGAGCTCTTAGTTTCCAGTTTGGAGATTTTGGTATGAATAATTTTCCTTAGGTCTACTGATGGACAAATTCATGTACTTTTTTTTTTTGGTCATACTGTTAGTAGTGGAAATGCTGGGTCACATGGTATGCTATGTATTCAACGATATTAAAGAACTACTGGACAGAATTATGCAGTTTCAGTAACTGACCCTCTTACAGAAGAAGTTCAGGTGTGTCAGGTCTCCAGGTGTCTGCCAACACTTGGATCTGTGGGCATTTCTAAATCAGCAGTTTCGGTAAGTAAGTAGTCATTTCTGGTATGCATCATTTTAGCATTTCTCTGACATCTAATAATTTTGAACATCTTTTCATTGACCCTCTTGGTTATTTTAAGAAGTGGCTATTCAACTATTTTACCTCTTAAGAATTTTGAAATTAAAATATAATTATACTTTCTCCCTTTCTTCTCCCCCCCATCCCTTGCTATGTACCACCCTGATGTGGGATAATGCTTGTTCACTATAAAGACATGTCACTCACATTAGTTTAATAAAATGCTGATTGGCCAGCAGCCAGGCAGAAAAAAGAGGCAGGGCTACCAGACTAGGGAAATTCTTGGAAGAGGAAAGGCAGAGACACAGTCACCAGACAGATGAAGAGGAAGCAAATAAGAAGCCTCTGTGAGTTTATTTGGGACTGACTGTCCACAGGAATGGGGTGGGATGGAAATTTCTACACCTCTCCTTTGCACTCTAAGATTCATGGCCACTATTTCTTTCATTATTGTTACATACTTACCTATTTGTGTACATTTGCATCATATACATGTGTGAATGCGCATCTAAACATAGCTCCTGTACCTAAGGCTTGGGGACCATACCAGAAACGTGACTGGAAAGATTGTAACACCCAGAGGAATGGCAAATATGTTATAAGATTTCATCTTCTAGATGTCAAAGATGCTTTGCCCACAAAGTCTCATCAACATGGCTGCCTATGCAAGGCTGGAACAAGGGTACCACCAAGAGAGCTGGTAACATGAAGGGGAAAAAAGCTCATGAGATCTCAACCCTCAACTAATAACTAGGAAATGCTGGGAGAAATAGTCTTGCCCAAAGGAGAGTCCCCAAATTGGTTATCCAACACCAATCATACACACATTTTGCCCTTTTGGAGTGAAGATTCTTTAGATATCTTTCCTTCACTTTAATAAAGGTGCCACTGATAACTTTATAGTCCTTTTCAAAGTTAACTATCAGGAGGGTAGAGAGTTCCACATAGCAGCTCTGTGTGTTAGGGTTGAGAATCCTTGGGGTAGGAGGATAAGGGAGCTCCTCTTTTCCCTTTCCCCCAAATGCTCCAATTTTGCTTCAGCTGTGAAACTGCTCAAGGCAGAGTAAAAGACTAGAGGCACCAAGATGAGAGAAATTCAATGTGAATCTGGTTTGCCTTTTAACTAGTTAACTAGCTGTAGCTCTCTAGACCCAAACAAATATCCTCTGTTGGAAAACACTGCAGATAATAATATTGAAATTGACAGGCTTCTATGCAGATTTAGCAAAGAATGTTGAATGGAATGTCGCCACATAAATTATTACTTGTTTGAGGTCTGGTAATTCACTAAAAGAGCAAACATTGTACCTGCATGCCTTCAGGCCCTTTAGCTGCTAGACTTGTGGCTTCATGGAGCAAAGCTCATCATTTATTTATTTGTTTGTTTGTTTGTAAGCTGGCTTTGTTGGCACAAACATATCTCCCTTGTGTTGCAGCAGGGAAGAAACAGGCCACCAGAGTCCGTCTTCTGAGACCTATCTAACCACAACTTCATCTTACACAAATGTGTTCCCCTGACAGTGATGCTGAGAGCTTGGCATGCATGCTTTCACAGTTGGTTGTTTTGTCATTTTCTTACGAGATGATGTGGCTTCTGTCTGGGAATACTATTTATAGTCACCTCACATCCTTAGTCAGAAGTAACACACTGAGAGGGCTGCAGGCAGCTGGACCGAGCCAACAGTAACACTCAATGTTCCTCCGTGGACCACCATCCTCAGATGGACACCAGTATTTTGTGTTGCTCATATCCAGCCTCTGAAACAACTATGTATAAATTATAGGCAAAATTCTCATTCAGATTTTAGAAAGAATACAAAATACTAACTTTCAATAATTTACTCATAGGGCAGAGACCTATGAGAAAAGTAAAAGGCTCATCTCCTATAGTGAAAAAGTCAAAACAGACATCTGACTCCAGATTTCTCAACACAATTCTGTGAATAAGTCTGTGAGGTGTGGAAGAGGCTGTTGTGAAGCCATTGCTGAACTAGGATAAGGATGAAAGTGAGGAGCTCTTCCTCAAGTGTAATAAACCAGAAGCAGTGCGTGGGGCTGCGGGCAACCACCCAGTTCCAGTGTGAGCTACCAACAGAACCTTGATGGAGTCACATATCCCAACAAAGGAACAGAACAATAGTAGGCAAGGCGGGGCAATGACTGGGTTGGGGGAGTCTGATGAGCTTTCTATAGTGAGGCCCCAGTACACATACACTCATCATGCTCCTATCAACACACTGTCTACCTAAAGATTCTGACACACAGTTAAGGAGAATGTCTTGGTTAATTTCAGCTGTGAGCGTGACACAAGCTAGAATCATCCAAGGAGGGGGGCTCAATGGATGGATTGCTGCAGCCATGTCTGTGAAGTGCTGTCTTGACTATGGTTGATACAGAATGGCCCAGGATCACTGTGGGCAATGCCAGCTCTAGGCAGGCGCACTTGGGCTGTATAAGAAAGCAACTGAGCATAAGCCAGGGATTGAGCAGGTAAATGGCTTTCTTCCCCAGTTTCTGCTTCAGTTTCTGTCTTCATTTCCTCCGATGCTAAAATGTGACTCAGAAGTGTAATCCAAAATAAACCTTTCTCTCACCCAAGCTGCTCTTGGTAAGAGTGTTTCATCACAGCAACAGAAACACAAACTAGGACACAGAAGGAAGGCACAGGGGAAGTTTACATTACGAACTCTAATTGTTGGTTCTACATCTTAGGATCAGGGCAAGACCCAAACAAACCAACACGGAAAGTCAAAGAGACAATGTCAAATACCTAGGAAATCCCTCCATTTGGAAATTAAGTTAATTTCTGCAATACTTCTCTGGCCATAGCATGAAAGAACCTCTTCCTTCTGGTAGAAAGGAGACCTCCACAGCTGAGCTCTCCCTGCTAGAGACTGAACAGGGACATCTAGGTCTGGCTGTATTTTAGTTATGTAGATGAAATTGCCCTTTGTTAGTTAAACTGAGTACACTTATGATGCTTTAATGTGACTGTTGAGGTCACCTAGTTTGCAACAGCTGGGTTATCTTCTCGGTGAAAGTATTCTCAATTGCTGAATTATTAATTCGCTCTATTGCAACCAATAAATTTCAAAAGAATATACTTTTCTTCCAGCATTGAAAAAACAAACAAAGTAACAACACAAAAACTTTAAGCATCTTTTTTTTTTTTTTAATCTAACATTAAAATAGATGAGGAGGGGTCAGAATTGCTAGCCCAGGAAACAAGCTGAGGAGCAATGACTATTGTGGCATGACTTCATAGCTTCACTTACCCTTCCCAAACTTCTCACTGTGTCCTAACCTCCTAGGGACGTATTCCTTTGTCTAGTCTATCCATGCAGGATAAGCTACCTTCCCGCGAGGAACACATCGGCTATCTGAAGTCCAACTGTATTTATTTACATTCAAGGAAACATGAAAAAGTAGTGAACGGTCTTGTATAATACAGAAAGGGAAAAGTAAAACTGTATGAAGAGGGTGTAAAGGTCCACAGAGCAACATCTGGAATTGTGAGATCAAGGCCAGGTAGCAGATGAGGGTGTGGGGAGTATAGTGTGTGAGTATATTAATATAACATTTATTACAGAATAAACTAAGCTTTACCATAGGTATGCTTGCATAGGAAAAAACAGAGCATACACAGTTTGTACTTTGGGGAGGAAGGGGATTAAGACACCCACTAGGGGGTTTAGATCATGTCCTCTAGGAGGAATAGGGGACTACTGTGGTTGATGACAAAACATCTGTGTGCGCATGGTTACATGTTCACATGTGTACCCGTGTGTGGAGGCTAAAGGCTGACATTGGGTGTTTTCCTCAACCATTCTCTACTTTAATTTTTGAGACAGAGCATCTAAACAACTGGAGCTCTTTGTGATTCAGCCAGACTGGCTGTCATGGCCCCAGGGATCCTCTTAGCCCCGCCTCCTCAGGGATAGGATTACAGCCACATGCTCCAAGCCTGGGTTTTTTATGTGGGGATGAGATCTGAACTCAGGTCCTCATACTTGTTCAGTAAGTACTTTATGGATGAAACCAGCCCCCAAGTCCACAAGTCCACATCATTTTATAATCACACCCCTACACCCACTTTCTATACCTATCAGTTCTACTTGAATTAGCTCCTCTGACTCGAATAAATGACCCCCACCAAAAAAAAAAAAAAAAAAAAAAAAAAAAAATCAGGAGAGGGCTGTGGTGTTGAGCTGATGTCAAACTAGGAATATATGGGAGTGTTGAGAGAGGAGCACTTACTGTGGAATAGTAGTTGAAGATGTGTTACATTTGTTTATGATGTGGAATATTTGTTTCACGGTTCAAAGACGTGTTGCATTCTTTTATGCTGCATTTGTTTAAATCTATAAAGCTGTTTTACTTTGCTAGTCTAAAACACGTGATTGCTCAAATAAAGAGATGAATGACCAATAGATAGACAGGAGAGAGAAATAAGAGGGGCTGGCTGGCAGAGAGGAGAAATCTAGGAAAGAGGGCAGGGATCAGAAAAAGGAGGGGGGCACCAGGGACCAGCCACCCAGTCACACAGCCAGTCATGGAGTAAGAAGGAAAGAAAGATATATAGAATAAACAAAGAAAAAAAGAACAGAGGCAAAACGTAGTTAAAGAGAAATGGGATAATTAAAGTTAAAAAGGCTGTCTTGAAACAAGTCAAGCTAAGGCCGGGCATTATTAAGTAAGAATAAATCTCCATGTATTTATTTGGGAGCTGGGTGGCAGGTCTCCAAAGAGTAAATAAATTAAAAAATAGCAAAAACAAAACAACAACAAAAACAATTACAGGCACTGGTAATCCTTCCAGACTCCACTCATGACCCAGAAACACTAAATGTTTTTCCTTATTCTGACTTCTCAAGTTAAAAAGAAAATTTCAAATCCAATCAGTCTTACCAGCTGTACCTTCCCATTGCCTCTCAAGTTCTTTGTATTTTCTCACTACAGTTGTTAGTGCCTCATTGTTCTAATGTAGCAGACTGTCTACGTGTGATCTTCATAAGACATCCTGTCAGAAACAAACTGCAGGTGGACAAGCTCCACTTTGTTTCCCTTTGTAACCTCTGACAAAGAAAGCTCAGTGCCCTATATTTCAAGAAAGATTAAAGTCCCCGAATCTATGGTCCCCATAACAACTGAATTTCAGGGGGACTTGGGTAATTCTTTCTGATTCATATAAAATGTTGGATACATTCGGCATTTAGTGCCAAGGGGGAAAGACCTCTTTCTTCCTGTATGGTTTTGTGAAGAATAAGCATGGCCTTTCCCCTGTACCATATGGAGAATCTTGTGCTGAAAACATTATGTCTACAAGAACAGTTCCTACAAACCACAAGAGTGAACAGAATTCTTCTGGCTAAAGATGAAGACAAACATCTTTATGCCTCCCTTTATAGCCTACAAAGGCACTCCAAAAGACAAAGAAGGAGAAGTGGCAAAACAACCAACCAACCAAACAAACAAAACACAACAGTCTGTAATTCTGGGGACTGCCACAGCTCAAGCCACTAACAGGCAGCACTCTGGGTCAGCATTATGAGGAGGGGACAGGGTGTAGAAGAGGTCACTCAGAATCTTTTTCATTATACCTTAGCACCTACCTTACAACATGGCAGACCACCCATGAAAGCAATCATCCACACCCTTAGACATTCCAGCCACACTGAGATAAAGATTATGAGTTTGGGCACATGGGAAAGGTAGGGAATGCCCTCAGGGAGGCAAAGCAGGAAAGGCTGCAGGAAGAAGAGTCCAGGGAAGACCAGGCCTTAGGTACTAGACAGCGATAGGGCCAGAGGGCAGGCATGAAGCTTCATCACCCACAGCCAGTGATCCTACTGTCCTTAATGTCTGAGGGAGGGAGGGAGGGAGAGAGGGAAGGAGGGAAGGAAGAAGGGAGGGAAGGAGAGAAAAGATGGAAACATTTTCAGAAGAATTCTAAGCTACTTTGGGCAAACCTTCACATCCTGCTTTCCTCCTCTCTGGTACCTCTGTACAATGGCACTTTCTCACAAAAATAAGGTCATGGCTTTGCACTATGTTAGATACAAGGTAAGTAAATGTCAGATGATTAACACATATCACAGGATGAATGGCCAATGACTGGGAGAACTCAGACAATTGATTATTCAGTTACATATGAGTCACACAAACCATGTTTTAAACAACAACAACAAACAAAACCCAAGAAGCATATGGTATGCAGACTGAGAAATACAAGGGGAGGGGGAAGCAAGCCAGCCCTGGAGGAATGGGTTGTACTAGGTCAAGGACAGAGAAGTTACAAGATGAGGCTGAAGAACTCAAAACCACAGCATGGCCATTTTAAGGCAAACTGCCACCACCATGAAAGTCTCTTAGTGGCCTCTGATGGAAGTAGTTGAAGTGCTGAACTAGGAAAATAATAGCACTGGTCTACAACCAAGAATATCACAATCCAGTAACTGATTAAGTAAGTCAAAAGGGAAGACCAGGTAGGTAAGTTCTCTTGCAGAATTCTGCATGATTTGTGAAGATGCAGGAAGCTCAGGTGGGTGCAGCCTCTCCAACCCTAAGATATAATACACTGGCTGCAAGGTGACATGATCTGAAGAGCCATGAAGAAAAGTGTGTGGGCAGGCCTGCAGGGCAAGAAACTCTACAGTAGAAAAACCACAGCCATGTGATCAGGTCAGTGTCAACAGTGACAGCTCACACTGACAGGAAGTGATGCCGTGAGACTTCACTCCTGTCACCACTCCCCAACCTGTAATCCTCACCCAATCACAGAAAACATGACAGAAATCCCAACTGAGAACATTGTGTAAAATTCCTGACCAGTGTTGAAGTCATTAAATGAAAAGACAAGTACTTGAAACTGTCACAGCGGGAGATGTCTAGGGAAACAAGGAGCAAATGGAGTCTAGATTCTAAGATGGGATCCTAGGAGGGAAAAGTTCTGAGCAGCATGTGGTCAACAACAGTGTACCCATGTTGGCTAAGGGTGCTAACTGTGCTATCCTAATAGGAAGAGGTTACAGAGGGCAAACCAGAAAGGTATTTGAGGACCCTCTATACTATCTTAACCACTGTGCCCTATGTGCTACACCTTCCACAGTAAGCCTTATGGTTTCTGATCCTATATGTAAGACATTTGGAAAGCAACACTTCTACACCCACATAGGAAGAATGCTAAATTAGGAACTCAACAAACCTTCTTAGATCCAGCAGAGACGTGAGGTCATATGCTATATTACTGACCCCAAACTGGAGAAATGGATGTTGGAGCCTTAAACTCTATGACAGAAGAGCCTGTAGGCTCAGCACAGCCTTGTATGATTGCTAGATGGTCTAAGCAGGGCTAGTCAGTCTTAGGGTTCGGGTCTCAATAGTTTAAATTCTACTGTAGTGAGATAGTCCTTCTGTGGCACTGACCACGCCCATTGGGGGGTGGAGACATGGGCGGAAGTGACCTGTGGAAGGAGGTCAGAGGAAGAGCCGGGAAAAGCTCTCTTGCTGGCGGGACTCGAACAGGAGAGCATCGGGTGGAATTTCCTGGTGTTCATCTGTCTAAGTTGTAAGTTATTTCTCCCTGAATAAACATCTATTCGGCCTATTTGTTTATCCTGATCCTTATTTAACCACAATATCTGGTGTCAGAAGTGGGATGATAGGAGATGGCATTCTGTATATGTTTCTCATACTGGTTAATGAATAAAGCACTATTGGCCAATAGGAAAGGAAGATAGGAGGGATTAGGAGACAAGGAGGAAATAGGAAGTAGGAAGGAGGGTCAAGATGGAGAGACTGGGGAGACCAGACGCCAGCCCCACTCCCAGGTAAGGAGACCATGTAAAAATACATAAAAATGGGTTAATACTTAAGACAAAACTAGCCAATAAAAAACAAGTAACTGGCCAACAAAATTATATCAAATACAGAGTCTCGGTATGTTAATTGGGGCTGGTGCAGTGGCGGGACAAGACCAGCGGCGGTGGGCAGAAAAACCTTGCTCCCTACATTCTACGGTCTCAACTAGCATTTCACTGTCAAGGAAAAAGAAAAAAAGTCCCCCCCCCCCAGCATGTGGCAGGGGACAGAAAACTATCAAACATCTTCAAACAGGCAAGGAGGAAGGTGAAAGCCATGAAGGTGGAACTTCACAAACACATCTGATGATAATTCCCAGACAAGCAGCAGCCTAAGGAACATTTCAGAAGGAGGAGACTAGGATAAAGGACATTCATCTCTAATAAAGCTCACACATGATTTATCAAAGGTTCATTACAAAAAGGATGTGAATATTATACAACCTGACAATCTAGAAATAACAACTTTTAAAACTGGGAGATGGGCATAAATAAATTATATTTTAGGACAGTTAATTGATAATTTACAGATACAAACACAAAACTTAAAAACTGGAGACTTAACACTAATTTTGTAATTTTTTTTTTCTTGAAGTCACATCAGTTTTAGAGGCCATATCTCATAGTAGAGAACCTTTGAAATTCAGCAACTTCTCCAGTTTTGCAAGTCAAATTCAATTGAATGTTTGTACTTAAAACAGCATATCTACAATGAACACAATGTTTAAAAGCAACTTCATTCTTTTGCTCTATTCTGTTGAACTCCTTTTTGTCAGTCTATGTATCTATCCTTTATCTGTGCCTATACATTTTGACAATAAAACTGCATTTATAAGGCAGGAACATTCATTATGCTTAGAGAAAGACTGAGTAACCCAATTTTCTCTTTCTTATATCATCTATAGTATTTAAAAATGAGCACACATCATATTTATAGAAAAAATAAAAATGATTATTCTTTTTATAAGTTTAATGGAATGGTTTAAATGAATACCACATGTCTTTTTGTTTTAATGACCTATGATCTGGGGTGACTGGATTTCAAATCTCAGTTCAGAGAATCCCATGTTATATAATGGAGAGTAACTTGTAGAACACTCTACTTCCTGGTTTCATCATCTGTCCAGTGAAGGACCTGAGCAGCGATGTTTACATTTCCTCTCAGCTGAAACCCTGGAACTCAGGTTCTAGTGATTAAAATTTCTCTACACTAAGCTACAAGCGGCACTTGAGACATGTGGAGAGGGTTCACCTATTATCTTGGCTAGACTATATTGCTCTCCAGGAGTGCTTCTGACTTCCTTCACAGCACCCTCATTTGAAGTGAGACTCACATGTGAGGGAGAAAAAAGCCCAGTGTAATAACAGAACGTGGTGGGTTTCTTGTTTTTTGTTTTGCAACATTATAGAAAGAAAAAGGACATGCACAAAAGGGGACTCAGTATTCTTAAGAAACCCCTCAAAATGGAAACTTTTCCTGCTATACCTATTACCCTCCAAGCAGGAGTGGGAAATTATGTGAAGACATTTGAGCTCTTCTGGGAAAATTGTATATTAAAGTTAAAAATGATGACTGAGGTCAAATAAATTGGGTGTTTGTGGGAGATATGATGGCCTAGAGAGTGCTGGAAGAAATTTTAACAACAGCTCTATGGCCTACTTTGCATAATTATGAAATTTGACTATGCAGAGCAAAACACTGGAAACAAACAGATGAGGATTAAAATAGCACTTTTTTTTTGGTCTAAGAGAAACATTAACGACAAACTTGCTCTGCAATTCAGTAAATAAAACATTCTAGAGACAAAAGAACAAAAATTAGAAAAATGAAATCAATATATTGAGGTCTACTGATTTCCCATGGCATTTGTCATTTTCTCAGTATGTGCAGAATCCCCAAACCAAGTAATTAGCATTATTCTGGATGGGCAACCAACATGACTGTAATCATCAGGTTAAAAACAGAGCTGTATGAAGAATGGTCACAAGGGTAGAATGATTAACCGACACCCAGGACTAGCACAGACATTTTATGTAGTTATGTAACTACAGCTTGGGAGAGCAGAAACATTAAGTATCTACTTATCCATCTATCAAGTACTTATATGCATTTGTGTGCATATAAGAAATAAAGCCCGTATTCTGTCTACAATACTGGTGTTTCTTACTGATCAGAGGAAAAATTGCATTTTTATGCTGTTTTTAACTTTTTCTAATTTCCAGTGAACAAACCAAGCCCAATTTTCTTCAGAGTCTGGCATGATAAGGTCGGCCAGCCTGCTGCCATCAGAAAGGCAAGCTAAATGTAATAGAAAAGTCTGCTCACATTAAAAGCTTTTCCCTTTTGGCCAAGTCCACTGTGTAGGTTGGGAAGTTAAGACAGTCTTGGAGGCAACAAGACAGTGAAGGGTTTGATAAGCAGCATTATTATACTTCAGATAGAAGTACAAAAATAAGTACTGGAAAGCCCTGATTATTATGTTTTATGATTTTTAACAGTAGATAAAACTAAATCACTAAAGGAAAACTGAGCACTAAGAAAGTTGTGGCACCTTTACTAATACAAGGAAATCATGCAAATTCTTTGAATATGTGTATTGCCATTCCTCATTTACTACTCAATGATACTTAGCTACCTATCCACCATTCAAGTTTTAAAAATGGAATGTGGATCTGGCAGGGGTGGCACATGCCTTTAATCCTAGCACTCACGAGGCAAAGGCAGGCAGGCCTCTGTGAGTTCGAGGCCAGCCTGGTCTATAAGAACTAGTTCCAGGATAGCTTCCAAAGCCACAGAGAAACCCTGTCTCAAAAAACTAAAAAAAGCAAAACAAAACAAAACAAAACAAAAGAAGGAACAAGGCACTCACATTGGTGAAGTCAACTCC